CCCCCCCCGGCCCCCTCCGCGGTCCGATCACTGTTCTGCATTCGGACGGTTCTGGTATCCCTGATTCTGAAGTATGATATTGGTCCGACCCAACACCGGCGACCCGGCCCCCGGCCCTGCGTCCCTCTCTCCGTCGGCCGATCCGCGCGCCCCCTCCCCCCTCCGGCCTCGGCTCCGCTCGAAAGGAAGGCGTCCGCTTGCATGGATGTCGGCGCATGGATGTATGGGATGCGTGTGTATGCTTTTTTTTTGGGGGGGGGGGGATGCCCAAGGCGACTCATGGGATGTGTGAAGCAGGACGCTCGCGCGACAATACCCCTTGTACGCGCTCTTGCCCAGCGTGGTGCCTGGGCACCGGGGGGACCGGAGGGGACACCCTGTTCAGGTCCGCCGCCCGGCCCGCAAGGAGGCATTGGCGGCCTCGCGTGCGGCTTTCCGCCGGGCAGCAAGTTCCTCCTCGCGACTCCGTGGCGCAGAGGCCGGTGCGGGGGCCGGGACGGCAGAGCGACGGCCAGCCGGCGCAGTGGCCCCCCCCGTAGGCACACGGGCGCCTGTCGGCCCCGGCGCGACCGAGCCGGCCGAAGCAGAGGTAGCAGCACGGGCGGGACGCTGGGACAGCCGGCTGGCCGGGGGCGTGGTCCTGGCCGCGGCCGCGGCCGTAGCCGACCGAGTCACCGGGGGCCCCGGCGCCGGCCGGGCGCCGACACTCGGCCGAGTGCTGGCGCTCGGTCGGGCAGCCCCGCCGGGCCTGCCGGTGAGGCTCGGTCTGGCAGCCGAGGCCGCAGCCACGGCGCCCGGCCGCGTGGCGGACGTGCCACCAGGGCCGGCGGCGGTGGCCGCCCTGTCGGCGGCGTCCCTGGTGGCCGCGGCCACCACGCGCGTGGGCAGCCGGGAAAAGCGCGACCCGGGGGCTCGACCCAGCTGGAGGCTGGCTCCGACGGCGGTGATCGTCCGGCCGGACTCAGGCGTCGGGACCGGCAGCTGCGATGGGAGCGACTGCGAAAGGAGCTCCTCTTGCATGACCTGCTTGAGGCTCACCTGCTGCTGGACTTGCTGCTGCTGCACCGGGGTCAGGGCCCGGCGTGCGGCTGACCGGGGGCTAGCCACCTCAAGTGACTCGGCGGCTGGCGGCTGCGGGGTCTTTGCCTCGATCGGGGCCGGGCTGGGGGGGGCCGGGCTGGTCGGGGCCGGGCTGGATGGCGCACCTCCCCGCGATCCCAGCATCCAGGCGACCAGCTTGCCAGCCGGCCGGAGGGCCACCGGTCGCAGACCATCAGCCACCATCGGCGAGGCAGCCGTGGGGGCCGGCTGCTGCTGCTGCTGCTGCTGCTGCTGCTGCTGTTGCTGCTGTTGCTGCTGTTGCTGCTGCTGCGGCTGTTCGCTCGCCAGGGAGGCGCCATCCGCCTCCTGTGTGGCCGGCTCATGCAGGGCTGGGCCGCCCTCGGCGCCGGCCATAGCGGCGAAGGTCAGCGTCCGGCCAGAGGCAGGCACCGAGGGAGGAGGGGTGCCGGCTGCGGGATTGGCTGGCTGTTGGCGCTGCGCCCGCAGGGCCTCCTGCATGGCACGATTGGTCAACATGGGCGAGGAGGCCGGGCCACGGAAGGGCGCCTGCGTGACATTCACAGGGAAAAGCACAGCCGGAGTGCCAGGCTCGGAGATGTCATGGAAGTCCTCCTCATCGTCCTCCTCCTGCTCCTCCTGCTCGGTCGCCGCCGCCGCTTCTGCGGCTTCTTCGTGTGTGTTTTCCAGGCCATTGGAGGTGCCGCGGGTCATGCCGGCCGAGGCACCGGGGCTGGCAGCCGTGCCCGGGGCCGGGGCCAACGCCCCGCGGAAGAGATGCCGCGCTGGCACCAGGACCGGCGATCCGGTGCCGGCTCCCCCGCGACGGGGACCCACCGATGAGGGGCTCTGTGGCAGGGGCGCCGGGGTGCGCCGGGCGGTCGATGCACCGGCCGACTGCGGGGTGGCCGTCGGGGGACGCGAGTCCGCCGGGGTGGATGGGGCCGATCGGCCGGGAGCCGTGCTGGCCAGCACAAAGGCCGCCGCCTCGGCCGGGGTTCGACGAGCCGCCGACGACGGGCTTTCGGTGATGGACTTCATCAGGTCGAATTGCTGCTGGTGGGCCGAGTCAAAGCGACCGCCCACCTGACCCGGCGCCAGCCGCGGCCGAAGGGCGCGCTGGGAGGCCGGAGTGTCGGGGGCCGTGCCTACGCACAGGACGCCGGGGTCAGCACCGTGTGGGGGAGGGAAATGCAGCCAGCAACGCGAGAAGCGGAAGGGGGAAGTGCGTGGGGGGGGGGGGGGGGGGGGCAAGAAAGGCCGGGAGGCAGAAAACAAAAGGCGGTGGCGGCCATACCCTGGGCGGGGCGCTCGTCGGGTTCGAGGGACTTGCGCACGGTGGGCGTGGCTCGCAGGCGCGAGGGTGTACGCGGGATGGCCGTGCCGAATTGCGGATCATTGGTGTGGCGGATGGCCGGCTCGGTCGCCTGGCGCGGGCTGGCCGGGGTAATCAACACCACCGGCGGGGCCGACTGGTCGGATGGGTCCACCGCGTCCGAATACAGCGAGTCCTCAAGGGCCGAGGCCTGTTGGGCCAGTTGGCGCCGGCGAGTGGACGACACCGGGGAATTCGCCGCATTCATGAGCACCGCCACGGCGCGATCCACCCTACTGGTCGCCGGCAGGGTGGCCCCCGGGGCCGGGGATGGCGGAGCAGCGGCGCTGCGCAGGCGCTTCGACGGCGTCAAGGGGGCAGGGTCATCGCGAGGGCGCCGGCTCGGGCTCGCGGCGCGTGGTGACCCGGGCTCGCCCCCGCCGCTGGACGGGGCCGCGCCATGGCGCAGCTCCGACACCGAGGAGCCAAGCCCGGCGCTTGGGGGGCGCGAGCTGGCGGCCGACCGGCGAAGCTGGCTCGCCGGGGATGGAGCACCGCTGGCGCTTGTCAGCGAGAATCCCTGCCGCGAGGGGGACTCCAGGCGCCGGGGCGAAGGAGGAGGGGCGGTCATCGCGCAGGTGGAGATCGGCGGGGCGAAGGTAAATGAGGAGATACAAGCGCCGGGGGCAGGCAGCGAAGTGCGGAGCAGAGTGCTGAAGGAGGAGGGGCTGTGACTGTCCGCGGGTCTGATCACAGCCCGGGCTCGGTGGCATGTGCCCGAAAAGGCCCGTCGCTCTCCGGGGCTTCGGCTTCGGCTCTGGCGGCGGCGGCGGCGGCGGCCACACGACCGTGCCGGGGGCCCATCCACAGGAGGGGGGGGGGGGGGGGGAAAGGGGGGGTGCCCCCCGGGGGCGGGGAAATGTTTTTTTGATATGCTCCATCTGCCTGGCCGGTCCCGCCAA